AAAATAATTCTCATGCATCTTCTCAATTTCTGCACTTTTAGTGGAGAGACACTGATAAATTTTGCCCCAGGGTATTTATTCAAGGATGTTGGTATAGAGATGTAACAAGACAACAGGACACAGAACTTAGATGAAGAACCTAGACACAGAACCTGGCTACAGAACCTGGATAGAACATGGCAAGAGAACCTGACTAGAACCTGGTGACTGAACCTTGCTGGAGAACCTGGACAGAACCTGGCTGGACAGAACCTGGCTACAGAAATTGGCTGGAGAACCTAGACAGAACTTGGCTGGAGATTGTGGCTAGAGATCCTGGCACGGCTGCTGATCAACTGAACGCTGTCTCCATGTCATTCCTTCTTCACCGACTCCGTCCACACCTTTGGGGACCCCTGGACCTGCTGGGGCTGGACCCCAGCACCTGGCTCCAACCTGACCTCTTCGGATGTGTTCTCTGTGCCTCCCCCCACGGTAGCCCTAGTACAGACTTGCTCTTCCCAGCCCCCAAAGCCTCTCTGGGTGCTCTCTGCACACACGGGCATCTGTTTTCTTTTACTTGGTGACGAGCATCCTTTTTTCCATAATCAGTTTATATTCAGCACGTCTTATGGGTCAGGCAGTGTTTGAGAGACAGAGGCCTAGAACAGCCCACCTACAGTGATGAACAAAACTGTCCTTGTGTTCATGGGGCCTGCAGTCTAGTTCTTAACCAGTTAACTGCCACGTGTCCAAACGGAAAACATCCCCACACACCACAGTATTTTGAATTTAATTAAAAAAATCAATTTGCATGGATATTATAAAAATAAATATATTACAAAAAAAAGGATGTTGGTATAGCAAACAGCCTAGGATGATAGAACTAGTGTCTTCTTTCAGGACGGAGGGCAGATTTATTTTCAGATCAGGAAAGTGAGTATAATGTCTCCCTATAGGGCAAAATTTGGGCAGATTTGACAACAACTGACAAGATAGGGGCCTCCTAAGCTCTGAATTTCTCATGTGACACAAACCAGTTGTGCACATGGCATCCGCCTCTGCATGGCACCTATGAGACTTGTGGTCAAGAAGACCTGATGGGCACATGACGTTCATTATGCTGCTGTGCCTTGCATAATAAACCTTCTGTCTCTGAATGAAGAGTTTCATGTCTCTTGCCAACGTCTATGACACCGTGACAGGCTACCTTGTCAGCTTGCAAGGAGGGTAAACGTTCAGATCCTCCCCAGTTCTTAAAGATGATAGAAGCAATATCAGAATTTGGGCACTCTGACGCTAGAGCCCTAACTTTAAAACATGAATTTGAAGTCACACAATGTCTACCAAGGGAGCCAGATAAAAAGAAACTGGCATAAATATAATGTGTAAACTTGCCAGCTTCCTTAGGAAGATCAAATTGGCTCTTCCCAGATTGTCAATAGGAGAATTTCTTTACTTCATAAGTCACCTATTCATATCTTTGTTTTCCAAGGTATAATGAGCAAAACACTTCTCCAGAAGAGTGGACAAGCAAACTCTGGAGAAGTAAATTGTGCGGGAGAAGCAAACTTAGTACAATTTGTCCTTCTTAGAAATTCCCAAAATATTAGTATTTAAATTCTCTTGAAAGTCCTACAATAAATAAAATTACTTTACTTCTTTTACCCCAGATACCTCAGACTATTGTTAATAAAGCTTCTACTAGAATCCTATGGATCTAGTGTCCCATTGAACACATTCTGAGAATCACTGATTGGGACGGATGTACCCTGTGGGCCTATTCTCATTCTGTTATCGCAAAGCTTTGAATAATTTCTGGTTTAAATGGTTGTACCTGTACTATTAGAGATAAGAAAAGATTTGTGAGTCTGCACTTGGGCTGCAGCAATTATTCTGAACCTTGGCTTTACATTAAAATCATCAAAGTGATGCTAAGAAGTTGGTATTTTTAAAACTCCCTCAGCGAATCTAATGTTCAG